TATATATATATGCGTGTTTGTAGTTGTCTAACCATCCGTGGTCCGACAAACTGAAAGAGTTTACTCAATTTCGTATGTACGACATAAACCAATAATAACATAGCACAAGACACTCTGCAACTCTACGTAACCAATCAGACATCCCTCTCTCCACACCCACACAGCTCACATCGAACCACCCCATCCCGCTATTCCCATCCACCACAAACCGGTACCATCCCGATCAGTACCACTTTCCCCCCCAGCGCTCTCTCCCACCCCCCACATACCGGCAGCGAGAAATTAAACGTCGTCACAATCTCCTTAGCGCAGGTGCCCGAGTGTCTGGCCGCAGCCACAAGGAACCACAGGGCTCCCTTGACGCCTGTGGCATTGTCTGATCCCACACACGAGTACACAGACCGCATGCGCTGGCGTAGTACACGACGCACCACTGCCGCACCCGAGGATCGGTGTTGCCGGTTGTGTGTGCACACGTGGATGATCAGAGATAGGGCCTCGAGCACTACTGGGTTGGCTTTGCTCTGTGGGGTTGGGTTGGGTTGGGTTGGGGGGTGGTTAGCAGGGGTTGGGTGGGGTTAGCAGGGGTTGGGGTGGGGTGGGGTTGGAGGGGTGGTAGATAATGGGCTGATAGGTAAGTGTATTGTACTGTAGACGTTCAAGTAGTAGCCTGGACGAATCTGAGTGAACAGGCAAAGGGGCGAATGTATTCAGCAGGACGGCAGGGCAAACACACCACACGTGTGTAGTAGATTGAAACCGTTGAACACGTATACGCCACACATGCATGGTAGCAATAAAACCGTTGAACACAAATACACCACACATGCGTAATAGCAATAAAACCCGTTGAAAACGTATAAAACACATGTGTTACAATAACGAAACCGTTGCAGTGACTTACAAGGTACTCGGCCAGGTTCTCCCACGCGATGAAGATCTCATTGCAGTCTTTGGAGAGTGCCACGTAGTCTAGTACTATATTCTCTTCTGCCGTGGGGTTGTCTCGGAGTGGTTTGGCGACAACTACGAATCGCAAGAACGCTGAGTGGACAGGGATGGCGTTGCGTGCGTTTAAGATGTCATGGAAGTGAACTGAACGGTTATTAATGCGTTGAGGTGTTACAGAACAATACACAACGAAACACGGGACATTGGCACGGCGCTTCTAATATTGCTAGTGGTATTTTATTTGAATAGTTTGAAAGTACTAACACACATGTATACTGAGTGCAACAGGTATTGCATTGAAAGTAGATAGATGGTTGAGAAGCACTCCTTCTTCACGACAGCTGGACAGTAGAGGCTGTCAGAATAATGCTATATATGTGTGTGTATGTGTATACATACATACATATATATATA